CAGGTTCTGGTAATATACTAAGACCTGATTAACAAAGAAGTCATGTACATCAAGGTTCACTCAGATTTATGAATGCAGTTTCTTGAGCAAGTATACATGTATGACAAATAGTTTTGTTGCACTTGTGTACTCTGAGATTCTGAACATGGGTCAGTGGAAGTTTTTAGTTGTCAGTACAAAACTAGATTATGGGAAATCACTTTATGATGAGTTGTACCCACAAAGAGTACATATTTATTCACCTGTTTGCAGATGTTCCTTGTACTACTTTATAATCAAATAACGGGGACTGTGACATTTCATGTCTTGTTAAGAATATATTAAGAGAGAAAAAACATAAAGCTGTGTGAATGGATTGAAACTACTGCTGAAGATAAAAAACTAAAACGACAGTGTCAACGGAGAATTAGATGGGTGCATGCTCTCTGCATAAACGGAAACGATGGCTCTGTTTATTTGCCCGGTGTCGACGAGCAACAGATTTCCTGTACTCACTTCCTCGTCTGGTCACCGGTCCTCAACAGTCTCACGTATCGGTGTCGTCATCGGTTAAGTAGTTGAAACTCTTTCGCATTGATGCAAATATTTCAGCCTAATCATCCCTTTCAAACCACTCGCGAGGTTGGTCATAATATGACCTAGACGTACTTGCAAGCTGATCGTTTCCGCTGAAAAATTTATGAAAAATAAATATAAATTGGTGAAGGCGAAAGTCCAGGCTGCAGGTCTGCTTTCTTTATTTTCATCGTCATTGTGTTAGTAAGATTGTGTTATTAAAATGGAAGATAGACTTAGAAAATTTCTCAGACGAAGTCTTGACTGATAATAATGCTGACAATGGATGTTGGATTAATATGCATTAATTGTTTGCGACAGGAAGCTTGTCACCCGTACGTTCTATCAGAATTGTCAACAATAGAGTATTACCGGTAGTATACATATATACATGTTATAAACATTATGCATATATTAACGAAACGGTAGTAGTGTTAGCGTTTGAGCACTGGTCTTTCCGAAATTTCGAAAAGCTGGCATGATGAATCAAGGTACAAAGTAACCGTTTTATCAATTGTTGAAAAATCAAAAAAAAAAAAATTTCCCTTCCCACTACATTAAGATCAATATGGACCACCGATATTTGTCGTTCATTTAAAAAAAATAAACCATAATTTTCAGTAATACTGACTTTGAAAAATATGATACAAAAATAGTTACATTCATACCACAAACCAACGCCGTTTTTGTTTACTTTTCATAACTGTTACAAAGTATTTCATTTCTGGTGGTTAAAATACCAGTTAATCGATCGTCGACCACAAGTTTGGAGTCCGTTTATGATCTAAACAAAAGCAGACGATTGCAAACAACTGCTGTCATGGCAAAACCTTGCATATCGTGAATGATATTATTTTCCTTGATGCACAAAGTCAACAAAGTCAAAGCAGACGTACAACATTCGTTGCAGAACGCGTGAAAAGTACTTCGCTTCCCACTCGCTTTGAAGCTGCCGCCTATGCTAATGAGCATAGTCATTGGAACGAAGCCTTACAACTCCAAGATGGCGATAACGTTACCCCGTATATGCCAGTCAAAACCAACGTGCACGTTACACTATTTAATTTTTCTAGTCAGCGGTGTGATGTGTCTAATCACCGTAAACCATGTGTCATTTGTTTGGTCCCACAATTTGGCTTCCATGTGTTTGCCGATCACCGAACAGTGCGGCATGTGTTTACACACTTTTTTTACCATACCATTTTTACCATTTAAAACTAAATTTTTTATAAGGCATGCGGTGAACATCGACCATTGAGATTCGTGCTGTTCGACCAACCAACCAATAGGAATCGTGCTCTTCTCAGAGTGACACTGCGATCCTGTCGCAGAGTGCAATAATCGACATTCGGCGAGTCGCACAATAGCGTCGCAGAGTTAGTTTTTAGACCCCCATACATACATGGCATATGATGCTAATAAAAATTGCTGTTATATTGAAATTATATCCATTTGCTGTTATGGTATTTATCATGAGTCATCGTGCACATGAACGGAAAAGAAAAGAATATTCGAAAAACAATTATTTTTTAATTCATTACTACAGCATCCGACCATGTATAGCTTCACCTCCCTCCATGATCAGTCAAAGCATGGCAGAGATATGGCACTTAAACTGCATTCATTAAAACAAAATTGCCCCAGTCAGCCATTTTAAATCTGATCTGAAAAACAAAATAGTGTGCATCAAGGTCCCATAATATCCAACGTGTATGCACCAAGTTTGAACAAAATCCATCCATAAATGATTGATTTAGATGATTTTTCAGCACAAAAATGGCCGCCATTCAGCCATCTTGAATCAGATCATGAAACAAATTGATGTGCATGTATAATATTACAACTGTATGTATGATGTATGTGTGAAGTTTGAATGTAATCGGTTCAGGCATGTCTAAGGTATAGGTTCGGATGCATGCATGAACACACACACACACACACACACACAGATGCACGGACACACACACAGATGCATGGACACACAGAGGTCAAACCATAAGTCCCTGTTTTTGGACTGCGTCCGAACAGGACTAAAAAGTATTTGTTAAATAATTCATCTATTTGTATTTTTCAGGGGCAATAGCTGTTGGTGCTGAGACTATTGAGATAAAAATTGGAGAATCAGAAGGTGATCAGTCCATGTTTTATTATAATCGTGGAAATTTTAATGAACTGTACCTAAGTATTCTTCGTGTGTATTTACATGGTGTATATCAGGAACCCCCACCTGAGAGCTTACCTTCTCCTGCAATGATGGCTTCAAAATCCAAATCAGACTGTATTGTCATGTAAATACATTTAATGTTCTGGTATTAAGAATAGTTTGCACAGACTAGTACATGTACTTTCTAATGGTTTGAATACTTTTATTATGCCAAAAGTTAATCTGTGCTCAATACAGACATTAGACATACCTCAAACCCTGATGCTGTTTTTAGTCCCCGTTCAGGTGAAGCCTGAAAGGGAAGTACTAGAATTATTTTCTTTCTCATTTTCAAGTTATCTCACATTTTCTCAGGGACTGTGCAGCAGATGTCAATGAAACTTGGCAGGTTGATGAACAAGTCTGTGTTACACATTTTTTTCCAGATCTGAAAATCCTAAGTGGGTCTTTTTCATGATTTTCATCCAAAATTACCTCTCTCTACTACACTGACAGAGCAACTGAGCATGCTCAGAATAATTAATTCTGTTAAATTCAGATTCATGAATTCCTGATTTCTGATTCACAAGTTTTACCTAATGTATTCGAACCTAACTAAATGAAACAGAAACTCAGTTTGCACTATACATCAAAAATACAGAGCTGTAAATAAGAAACCAAAAACACTTAGGACAAGTGAGAGTAAGAATTTGTGTTAAAAATATTCCCAAAAAGTATGAAGATAAAGCATGAATTTAAAATTATTATTACATATTATGCACTGTTTAAAATAATAAAAACTTTTTTTTTCGAAAAACATAATTTTTTTTCTCCAGATCTGAAATTCCTAAGTGGGTCTTTTTCAAGATTTGCATCCAAAATTACCTCTCCCTACTGCACTGACAGAGCAACTGAGCTTGCTCAGAACACAGTCCCTCTATCCCCGGTCTGGAAACGACTAGCGTTCTTTTGTCTTCAACCGCGGTACGGGTAAACAAACCGTTCATACCCGGGCCGAGGGAGTCAGGAAGTCGGAAAGATTACAATATCGTCAAAACATTCATTAAAATAGGAAAATTTACCGTCATGCAAAGCGATACCTCATTGTATGACTTCACTTTGACTTCAAATTCGGGCAACCACAACGTAAACAAACATGTAAACAAAATTATCACTATGAAATTGGGGTTTTTTGAACCCTTATATACGCATCACAACCAGCCTACCAACTTATAAACATCCAGTTCCTGCAATGCAAAGATTAATATCGGGAATTATGTTCATTTTCTCGTTTTAATAGAGAAAAACTTTGCTAATCTTGTCAAAATGGCGTCGTTCATGTTAAGTAGTCGATCGAAAAATCTGTGATATTTCTGATTCTTGAGGGGTTCATAACAGTGAACTAACTAATGACTTTATTCTATACAAAAGTATATAACAATGCTTCAATGTTTGTATATAAAAAATGATTTTTTTTAGCACATAATTTAGTAGATAGTCATTTCAAAATGTCGCCATTTGCATTGACGATCTAAAAAGCATCCATAAAAGTCGCTCAATTTAACATTAATAAAATGCGGTATGACAAATAACAAATCAGCCCACCAATTTTTAATGATATGTTTCGATCATAAAATGTCAAAATCGAAGACAAATATTGGTTTCGCGCCGAGAAGTATGGTAAATAAAATAGAGTTCATTTCAATCACCCCAAAATCAAAAACGACAAATATCTGGGTAAAGGTATGAAAATTTGTTGCGAAAATGTGTTGCTGCTGGTAAAATAGATAAATTAAAGAACTACTCGCCAGCTAGACAGACTAGACTTTAGACAGATATCCTGATTAAAAAATTATGTGAAAAAACATGAATTCTGGAATAATCAACTAAGTTGTAAAAAAATACATAACACTGACGATGTCAAAAATAGTGGCCGGCTGCATACTGATCACGTGACAATGCTTTGCCCATGCCCGCAATGCGCCTTTGCCAGGGAAGGAGGCCGATTCGCACCTAATACAATGACCGTTTCCAGACCGGGGATAGAGGGATTGTGCTCAGAATAAATAAATAAATAATTTGCTTAGATTGTAATGCTATTGTTGTTAGTGATGTCATGACCAGGTCATGTGACAGATGGGTTGTACCATTACTAATCTCAGTGGAAAATGTTGAGGGGTGTCAGGGCTACATTTTGATAGAAATTATAGTAGTGATAATGAAACAAACCCAGGTCCTGGTAATATACAAAGACCTGAATTAATAAAGAAGTCAAGTTGTTATTAAAGGTACATCAAGGTTTACTCAAATTTATGAATGCAGTTTCTTGAGCATTTATGAGACATAGTTTGGTTGCACTTGTGGACGGGGGTCAATAAAAGTTTTCAGTTATCAGATTAAGGGAAATCACTTTATGATGAGTTGCACCCACATAGAGTACATATTAATTCAATTGTTTGCAGATGTTCCATGTATTATTTTAACATGAGTATTTTATAATTAAATAACGGGGACTGTGATATTTATGTCTTGTATCCATAAGAACTATGTACAGTCATTTCCTGTTGAGTTGCAACAGGTGATCTACCATGGTTATAATTACTTAATGATGTTAATAGTGTAGTAACAGTTTGTGAGGCTGTGGTATGTCTGTCTAAATTATATAACCACATGAATACATCTGTAGTCAATGTTTGTCCTCCCAAAGTAATTTATTTAAAATTATATATATTTTAATAAAATCCTTTAAGCGGCATCATTTTGCCTGCCAACATTTTGGTGCATCATTCTGCATGAAACAGGAACTTATAATTCGGTCTCTGTAAACCTGTCTGAAGTCATATTTCAGAACCCTGTGGACCAAATCTGTTCATTCTTTGCATGTGCCTAGTATTTTTTCTTGGACATATGCACATGCAGTGGTTTACTGATTCAATCCATGATGGCCGACTGGCAGTCATTTTGTTTTTTGAAAATGTGGTATCTTATGCATGCTTTGTCGTCTTTTTTACCAAATTTGATACAAACATTGTACATTTTAGATTACATGTCCATGATAATTTGTTTTACAATCAGATCAAAGATGGCTGCCTGGTGGCTATTTTGCTTTTTGACTATACTACTATATCTCCAGGGCTTGTTGATCATTTTCATTCATATTTGGCGCATAATACATATAAGAATACATGTTCATGTCACTTTGTTCCAACTGCAGACTGCCATCCATTTTGTTTTTTAGCTCCGCTGTCGACTTTGTCGAGCGAAGCTTATCATATGAGTGATTGTCCGACGTCCGACGTCCGTGTCAATGTTTTACTTTTTCGACTTCTTCTTGAAAACTACAAGCCTGAATGCTTTGATACTTAATGTATATGTACCTTGGGTAGACCTCTCTCAGATTTGCTCATTTCATGATCATATCTTCAATTCTCTAATTTTGGTGAATATTTTTGTCATATTTGGTAAAAAGTGTTATTTGTTAACTTCTTGTTAAAAATAAAAACTACAAGTCCAATTGCTTTGATATTACATATATAGGTACTAGTACTACATGTGGATCTCTCTCAGATTTGTTATTTTTGTAATGATATCTTTAATTATCTACAGTAATTTTGGTGAATATTTTTTTCATTTTTGGTAAAAAGTGATATTTTCTTCTTGTTAAAAACCACAATCATTTATGGTGAAAAATGATATTTTTGAATTTTTGTTGAAAACAGCAAGTCCCATTGCATTGATACTATGCATATTGTTCATTTTCTAATGATATCTTCTGTTCTATAATTGAAATGTGCATTGCAAACAGTGGAGCTATCTCAGCCGAGAGGCTGCTTGTTTGATAATGTGGTGCCTTGGAAAGTTTTTTTCATTATTTTATACAAACATTACACATGTTGAGATAC